GCGCATTTAATTTAATTATATAAATAAGTCACTTGTAGATTAGAATTCAGTCTTAATTGAACAACTACCGTATTAAGCATGAAGCTAATCTGGTAACATCCCCCGGTCGGAAGAACACACCCCTACGCGAAAGATTAATTGCTCTCCCAAACCCCAGACCACCCGACTGTAACACAAGTGGTGTCTCGGATACAAGTGGGTCAGACAGTCTCTTGCTAAGAATGCTTGCAATAGACCAAAATGTAAGTTGTCTTCATCATCCTCCCGTTGAGTATGCGTCTTTAAATATCAATGTACATGACGCTATAAAAAGTATGTGTCGGGCACTGATTGATAACTGCTGCAATTCAACAAATTGTAATACGGTTAAAATGATCAAGCCTGTCACTATTCCAACGGAGGTAGATGGTGAATCCATTGATGTCAAGCTGAGGCCCACACGGTGCACACAGTGCTAGAAACTTTGTAAGTCAAAATTTGAAGTCTTTGCTATTATTATAGATAATTTTGTATTTACCTATTGATTTTTATAGGCGCGATATTTGGGCATATCCATCACCCGATGATGGATTACAATGAAGGAACATGCGTTGTGAATATTATTCAGGTTTCTTCAAAGCATTTAAATTTGGGAAAATGGGTCTCAATGTTAGATGGTAAATATTATTATTATTATTATGCGATCGATCATAACTTGCTAACGCCAAAGCTAGCATCCTTCCCTTATTATTATAGCCTATAATCAAGAGTCCCTGTTGATGAGTAAATAGGCATTATTATTATAAGATTCACTAGTAACGTAACAAACAATAATACCAGCATCATTCTTCTCTCTACCAGTACCCATTATTATTATTATTATTATTATTATTATTATTATTATTATTATTATTATTATTATTATTATTATTATTATTATTATTAACACATCAGTTCTGACACTAATACATATTTCCCCTGTCCAGCTATAATCACAAAGTCCAACAATGTGTCCGCGCACATACCCAAAATCTCCCACTCTTCTTATTATTATCTCAGATGCTTGCGATTATGCTTTCTATACATAAAATATAATATATTATTATGAATTACTATTACTATTAATCTGCTGAATCGTGAATCTATAGTCTGCTAAGAACTCTAGCGTAGCTTGCCTTCAAATCGGCAAAGCGTAAAAACATCTTATGCCTATACACCCCGCATTTGACCTGCCCTGATTATACATACCAGTATTATTATGCAACTCGGTGTATTCTGGCTTCTGTTTGGTAATAATAATAATATTATTATTTAGTTATAGTTAGTATTAGTATTCGTAATTTACTATGTCTGGTATACTGGTTGCTGGAAACTTGGAGAATATTGGAATGCGAGTTCGATAACGACACTTTATTACAGGGGTTAAGATACTTCACCTTTAAATAAAGACACCAAATTTAGGTTGATACCCAGCATTTTTTGAGTTTCGAATAAAATACCTTAACAAATGCACAGAAACGTCGAAGAAGCCTGCTAAACTTCTGAGGTTACGTTGCATTTTTCGAGCAACAAGATGATATCAAGTTAGAATTTTCCGAAATACTTGCATTTCGCTCAATTAAGCGAAAGATAGATCTGCATAGGTTTCAATAAAAAAAAACAAAAACAGTTGCGGCTGGATAGGTTTATTTCATGATTTGTGACATATCATAACGATTAGTATGCCGAATGCAATAAAGATTCATTGCTAACAATTAAATTTTTTGAGTGAATTTATGGCATATCAAAGAGGAATAAATTTTACGTTATATAGAATTACACGTGCAATTACTAAGAAGCCCACTATAACAATCATACGCGTTATTATGGAACTCGTGCTATAAGAGAATTCATGGGTTGTGCCCAACTTTCCATTATAACGAGCTTCGACTGTACATGGATAAATATTTCGACAATATTATAAATTATCACTACACGCTATATAATCCACAGATTTTAGCCGAGTAGTGTCGAGTCAATTAACCATGGGAGAGCGATTGGTACATCAATTCTGTGATTTAGTTTCTTCAAACGAGGCTACTCCGCTAAACTGTAAACGACAATTTAGCAATTTTTTAATTGAGTTTAATATTCACGGTTTATTTTCGGTTGCTAATTAGACTGTTATGTATGACTCTACCTCTACCGATACGATTACTCTCGACGGCTTGTAGGTACGGTACGTTATTATATCAAGTAAACGCGCTTGACAATTAATTAGCAATCGTATTTTGCCAACACGGAAAGATCGATTCTCCTCCCGATAGCGAAATCTGCGGTTTGCACGTCGCGCTATCGAGCGGATAACTAAGGAATACGAATTATTTACTATTCCGATAAAGATCTACTCTAATGTAATACAGAATGAGAAATAAGGATGATTTATCGTTCCACTAGCTACTATACCTTCTATTTTTAGTTAAACGTAGATTTAATGATTTAATTAATATAATTATGAACTGACAATTGGTGTTACCTTGTACCGAGGCAAACACTTGAGAATTCGTTCTGGACGCGCAATTCTGTCATATGACCTTGTCATTCGTCGGATAACGCTGCCTCCGAAAGGGTTCGATCAATTTGTAGACTCGTGACAGAAAGTTCCGAAATTTGATATTGATTCAATAATAATAAACCTTTCTTGTCCATTAGCAAGAACCGCTGACAAAAGAGGGACCATGTAATGTACTTGCAATTGAATGTTGAAACTCGATTGCTGTGTTATGTTTGCTCACACCGTCCGATATAGTGCGATAGCAGACGAGGGCTCCGGGTTACATTTCAGCCGGATGGACATTCAATACGACCAATTCAACCATCTGACATGACACGAAATCTAAACTTTATCGAGGGATCATGTTGGTAAACAAGTTTGAAAATCGTGTATATAATGCTTTTGAAAAAAGTCGACCAAACACCCTTAACGTTTACACACGACGCAGATAAATGATAATAAAACAAAACATTCCACATTCACCACGTTTAAATGCAGCAAACCGAAATAACACCCGCAGTCACAACAGACGAATCGACACCTCTGCTGTCTTCGTCTAATGCTCAACCCTCTGATAACACTACTTCTCCTCGGCCATGGTATTCCCGTCCTTCACCCTTTTGGCTTCTCCCGGCATGCTCCCTGATTGCGCTCTCTTGGGGTTTGATGGTCGCTCCGAGAGTAAACTTGTACGTGGAGATTGTGTGCGAGTACTACTATGCTTCAGAGGCTAATTCAATTGGATTTGTCGGAGGATTGGCACAGTCTGGGAAACTAAATGGCGTAGATATAGTGGCCCGGACATTAGCTGCGAAGAGTAGTATAATACCAAGCATAATAGGGATAGGAGGTCTACCGGCGATAATGGATCGGTTTACATTCTATCAACCAGGATCGAATTTATCTTACTATGCCCCATTAGAATCAGATGATGACGACATTCCAAACGTCGAATGCAACATTCCTGAAGTACAAGCAATAACGTCGAACTTGTTGTTATTCATGAGTCTCTGTTGTGCAGTGCCTTGTAAGTCCTTTTTTTTTTTTTCGGGAGGAATGAAACCAGTTTGATGGATCGTCACGAACAGCTTGACAAAGATTAGAATAACGTATCGACCAGAGTCGTGAAATCTAGTTGTCACCAACTGTGTACACGGATTATTGAGGTCTTTGACTTTTAATCTTCTAACAAACCTTTTCTTTTACAAAGCAATCTTTGTTCTAGGCGCGTTGGGCACACTATCGGATCGCAAAGGCCGGCGTATTGCACTCTTAATAGCAACTGCTGGAATGACCCTCAATCATTGTAATATCATCCTAGTCGGGACTTATTCGCAGACATTAGGCCCGTATTTTCTCCTCTTTGGAGCGTTGTTGGAAGGCTTGTCTGGCGGTCCTATGCTGAGCCTTTTGGCAGCTTGTCATGCTTATATGTCAGATTGCGTTGAACCGGAGAGAAGGTTCGTGTCAAAAAGCAAAAACGTGATACATAATTGTGATAAAGTCGATAGAAATCAAAATTCAAAATACGCAAGCTACCATATTCATTACACGTAACACCCTCAAGTATATCTAATCGGATGCCATCTATAACCTCTCCTCATTCCCTCCTCATTTTCCAGGTCAATCGTCTTTGGCTGGCTGGCGGCTGTTATCTACCTCGGCGTCTCTTTGGGACCCGTCCCGGCCGGCTGGATAGTCGCTGCAACTCGGTCATACCTTTCAGTCTTCTACATCGCCGTCGCTGTTTTTATATCGTTCTTTCTCTTTGTACTGTTCATCCTTCCCGAGTCGCTGACACCAGAAAAACAAGCAGAAAATGAACACAAACAAAAATTAGAAAAACAGACGCGAGAGCATAGCTCGTGGTGGCGAAGAAACGTGTTGAGTATCTTTGAAGCGTTGATGCTGTTCATCCCCAAAAATGCAGATTCAAAGAGACACGAAGACCAAGGCGCGATAAGTCGTTTGGTTAGGGGAAATCACGCCTTAATTTTCGCGGCGATTATGAGTTGTTTAAATTTTGTAGCATTTCTGGGAATGCAAGCGGTTTTGATACTGTACACTACTCTGGTATTTAAATGGACCGTGATGGACCAGGGAATTTTCATATTCTTGATAACTGGGCCGAGAGCGTTTGTCCTTATGGTTTTGTTCCCAATTATCATAAGATGGCTCAAACGAGATGGCTCGCCACCCAAGGAGACGTTTCTGCAAACTGCAGCAAAGGATGCCACCTTCTTGACGCAGGATACATTGACTCCTGAGCCAGGGGATGGATTATTCGACGAATTCACTGCGAAAGATCTTCAGGCGCGGAAAGCACTAAAATTCGACATTTGGGCATTGAGATTTGGATTCATAATTGAAACGATATCGTTCATAGGTTACGGACTTACGCCGACAGGTTTTGGGTTTTATGTCATTGGGATATTCCAATGTTTGTCGGCAATGGTTCTTCCGACTATAAAGTCACTGTTGATCAACTTGGTTCCGCATTCCAAGACGGGTGAAGTGTTGGGGGCAACGGGCGTTTTGGAAGCATTAATGAGAATACTCGCGCCGCTATTATTCAACACAATTTATTCTCTGACTGTGTCGACCGTTCCGCATGCTGTGTGGCTTGTTATTGCAGCATTGATGGGCACCGGCGCTGTGTTGTCGTTTTGTGTTAAAGTGAAAAAGATCGAGAAGGGGAAGGGGTTGGCGAGGAGAGACGATGTTATAGAATGAAGATTAGTCAGTGTTAATGGGGAAACTTTTTTTTTGTATGTAATTCAATAGGTGATTTGATTAGGGCTTCAAATTATATATATTTAGTTCCATATGTGATATACAATGAGTACAGAGTCAAAGACTATGGGGACAGAGACGTCATTCTAAGGTGGATATGTGACGGCGCCAATAATTATTTATTTCTTGGCGACATTCTACTCCATATCAATATACTGTTATTGTCATAGTTAGTATTAGCAACACATATTAATATTAATAATCAATCACATAAACTGATGCTCTAATAGATTCTTGGTTGTTCTAATTATATTCCATACCACACTTCCTTGCATATCATTCCGGATCACCCAAAGTTCGTCCTCTGATTCGGTCTTTTATTTTGCTAAAATAAATCGATTGAAAATCACATGAGATGTTCGAACAGGGAGGGTAATAGTAAATGTTTGTGTGATCAGAGATCGACTCGTTAATATGTCTGATATTAGGAGTAGATGAGCAAGATAACGACCGCTTGTTTGGTAATATTTATAATTCACTTGTATATCGATGCCAAGTACTTGTTGGAGGGTCTTGTCAAAACTATTCGATTACTATATATAACCCGGTCATGCTTTCGTGATGCTTTATACACGTAACTTGCAAGGTTGCACTTTAACTCGAGTGGCGCAAAGAAAGTTTACAGTCGTAACACTTTTAATTATTTACTTATAGTAAATTACAATACAGAAAGAAAACCTTATTTGTAATCTATGTAATATCGATTATAAAGGTAAAACTCGAATGTTACTGGATATAAGTGATTACGAAAGCAAGTCAGAAAGGACCCAGACAACCACACAATAATGCACTAGTTTGAAACGCATGCATTTTAGAAGATGTATACTCGAAAGCATGTATGTAACATTCGAAATTCTATTTTCAATAATAAGCGTTCGTACCGTTAGACTCTGCAATTACCACATTAATATTTTCAAGTAACAGTAAATAGAATTCAAAACGCATTTGTGCAACATGATATATGCGACGACTGATTGTGCCCCTGATACATAATAAAAACAATTCCTAAATTGTACCCGGGTTTGAAGGAGAAAAAGGGGGCTAATTGAGGGATGTCTATATTTGGTATATGCAATATGTCTAATAGTGTCTAATAGTTCTAATAGTAGCGCATACAAAGCCTTTTGGCTTTTATATATTTGGATATTGTCTATAATTAGTATAGCTGTAATCAATTGCCGTCGTTCTTTGAGGGTGTCTTTTCCTCTTCAAAAAAACAACGCGCAACAACTTGTTCGCACGCTGACATTACGCGTCCCCACCAGTGTTAATTCATGTCCTTGCAACTTTTCCAAGATTATCGTGTCGAAAAAGACACGTTCAAAACCTTTTGATTATTGGAAGCAGGGTCTTAATCTGTGACACTATTATGCGTCTACATCCCTAAGTCCTTCCATGGCTTGAATGTTTACAGTCATGTGCCCCTCTATGTTCTTTCTGTATGCCCTTTTTTCAAGTAATATCCGAAGATCCGAGAAAGCCTTTGAAAATTGTTGACATACATTCTCTATCCAATCAAGTCAGTCGTTGACAAATCACTCTCACTTTTTCGACTCGCATTGTTTGTTGAGATGCAAACCAATGAATGTACAATCCTCACAAGCCGTAAAAAAGCTGTACTGATCCCCAATTGATTCAAATGCTCCCTCGTAGTTCATATCTTTATCTTAACCAACTCTCCATCATGCATCATCCAACTTTAAAACTCAACAAATTAAAAGTCTCTGAAAAAAGAACTTTTATTAATGCTTAAGTTTGTTTTTTTTTTAAACATAATTATTACCTATCAACTTTTTTTTTTTTTTACATCTTAAGAAAAGACGACAGTTCATTCGGATTGGAGGAGAGGGGAAAAAAAAAAGGTTATCGACAATTGTCAAAATTGTACAAAAAATAAAAGGCGGAAAAAAAAAAAGTTCTAATGTTTTTTTTCTTATTTATGTGAGTGGCATTATTATAATGTAATATATCCCAAAATAAGATAATTAGACAAATACTATACCAAATGATATATAATTTTTTTGTCTCCCAGAAACAATTTGTAGTGTCTCTTATCGTCTCCCTTCTAAGGGGATTGTCCCCATAAATAGAAAGAAAAAGGGAGAGAATAATAGTGTGTAGATAGTGTGTAGATAGTGTGTAGATAGTAATGTGAGATAGTGTGAGATAGTGTGAGATAATGGTGTGAGATAATGGTGTGAGATAATGGTGTGAGATAGTGTGTGAGATATGTGTATGTGATGCGATGCTTCCCACAACAACAATGCTGCGCATCCGCCCAGCTTTGTGATCGGGAACATGCATCTTTTCTCACTCACTCATCCTACAGTCCAGACATAGCCTTTTACGGCATTTTCTATTGAAAACAACTTGGAAGAAAAAAAGTTATTACAGAAAATCTGACTGGATAGTTCAGGTAAATGAGAATAAACTCAAAGAAAAATGCCAGCTCTAAGAATTGCAGAAAAATATTGCAATGTTATAAAAGTGTAGGGAGACGTACTACGAAAAGCTTAGCATAATTAGGGGGGGTTTATTATTATGTGTTTAGAATGCTTGTCCGAATTACCCGCGTACCCTTCGAACTGATTTAGTCCTAAACATATCTTTAGTTATCAGTGGTGGAGAAGGAGATGCAGGGTAGGGAACTGTCGTCGAGTAAGAAGGGGGTGGTGCTAGAAGAGGTGTTACCAGCGAGCGGCAGGAGACAAGGCGGGCTTCGAGAGACTGTTGTTGCAAAGAGAGAAGAAGAAGAAAAGTCATGGTGAATACGGTGTATATAGTAATAGAATGGACGTTTTTGAAATCCGACTCTGACCGCCCACTAACTAGTCTCCAAATCACACACTAACAAACACGTACCTTAACTCGGCCAACCATCTCTTGTACCATCCTAACCGGATTCGCTGTTGCCACGCCAGAAGAAGAGTCTATACTCATAGCTGACGGTGGTCGTGAATAATGTCTTTGTACTGCTGGTGTGGATGGCGGACCAAGGTCGCCATCTTGTTTGTTTTTGAGAACTGCAAGTTCTATGTTTGCGTCTTTTTAAAGAGAATTGAGGAAAAATTAGCAAGATATCATATGAATGTAGTAGCCACTTGTGCAAAAAGTAGGACACGTTTTCAAAAAGTTCAATCGTCGTAAACTAACCTCGAAGATCATCCTTTAGTCGCTGAACTTGCACAATTAATTGTGCTTTGCCTTCAAGTTCTTCCTCGAGCAATGCGCCTCGTTCAATTGCTTTGTTATATTTTAACTCAAGATCTTGTAGTGTTGTTCGTGATGCTCTAAATTAGAAAACGAAAGCATGACATGTGAGTAATGTATACACATACAATCGCAAGTTTTGATTTGAAATCACAGTCTAGATAATAACCTTTCTGTTCGCTCCAAGTCGTCATTTTCAAGCTCAAGGTTCCTTGTCGTTTCTGCGTATTTATCTCGTAAAGCTCGTAAAGAGTCGAGTTCTCTTTGCATTTGTGTTTGATTAACATTAGATTCTTGTTTTGATTGATAGAATTTTTGCTAAAAGATAAAATGATGATAAAAGGCCAGTTAATAAACAGTTTTACAAAATATAGAATCGAATCGCAATTCGATCGAGAGACTCGAGCGTAGACGCCATACAAATACAAACCTTCCATTCGTCAATTTCGTTCTTTAAAGATTCATTCTTGGCTCTCAGATCTCTGCATCGCTTTTCTACCGAGTCGAGTTCTCTTTCCAAGTCTTCTTCAAGTTCTCGTGATGTTAGTTGAAACTCTTCCAGTGAAGCCCGTGTGTCTTCTAGTTCTAGCTCGAGATTCTTTGCGTGTGCTTTGTAATAGGCAAGTTCTTCATGAATGTCTGTGAAGGTTCTGTTGTGTAAACAAGAAAGCAGGTGAGTCGAGTGAAAAGATGGGACAGATATAAAAACGAGAAATTTGTTGTGTATTATCCATTGGTTTAGTATCGAGATTGTTTTTTCTAGCGACTATATATATGCGCACTCTCTATCTCTCACTCTCGCCACCTGTGATAACATACTTTCCAGTCATTATTCGTTATATTAAGTAATACAGAAAGATTGATTGTTGATATAGGATTGTTGATATAAAATTGTTGATATAGCAGTTTCTTCTCGTTTGGCGGATGACGCGTTACTAATATTAAGTGGAGAAAGTAGGGGTGGTTTTTGTATAGTTGTGTTGTTTCTTTCTTTCTTTCGTTGCCGTTGTTTGACAGAGCAGAGTTGTTTGTTGTTTGTCGTTATCAGACTAGTTGTTCAGTCTTGGCTCGTTCTGTTTTGCGTTGTGGGATTTTGTTTCCTCGACCTTTTTAATTGTTATGTTCTGTATAAATTCTGTTTCCCAAGACAGAGGAGGTCGTAGTGAAAAGAGTCGGGTTAATAGGGATGACAAGTATATAAGAAAAATTCTTTACAAGGGGGTGCGTTGTTATGGTTGTTATGGGAGGGGGGCCAACAGGGGGGTATAGACAAAATAGGTGTATTTCAGTGGATGTTATTATATTTGTGTATATTGGGTGTGTGCTGTGTGTGCTGTGTGTGCTGTGTGCTCGGCAATATTTGTATTTGTAGGCGGACAATCAATGAATTAATTGCATTAATGAAATACAATTTATGTTGGACATCTTTATTCTATCGGTGCAGAGTTACACTAAGCCATTTCCATAGAATCAAGTCATTAAATACTGTGCTTCTATTAGGAAGAAAAAGGATAATGGCCGAATAAATAGCTATTTATATAACGATGATGTTATGCTCTGATCTCATGACTAGAATATGTTGGTGTTGTTGGGTTAGTATAAGTATTAGGGTTAGTGTTAGTATAGTATTGGTAATTAGTAGTATTAGAAGTGTTGGTATTGATATATTGATATCAGTACTAATTACGATAAAGCATTGCGAGATTTTGCTCACCGTCTGCTAAATTACCCATCATTTTCATAAGTAAAGATGTTCATTTTATATTGACATGTGTAAATTATTAAATACAATCTTTATCGCCAACATTAAATTTCTCCACATTAAATTGTGTATCACAGCACTTCCCAGTTATCTGATATAATTACGTCAACCGCATGCCCCCCCTGCAATCAGCCGTCAAAACTTGCTAAATGCATTACAACAACAACAACAACAACAACTTTTATTATAACGCGGAAAAGCATTCTGAAACAGATACAAGAAAAAACTGTAGAATATACACTGGACTAAACAAAAACCCGCATAATTGAAACCTGAATTTCATTCTAATTATTTCCATTCCCCCCCCATTTACAACCCTACTGATGGGGGTAAGCAGAGGGAAAAGTATGAGGCGCACTAGAATCGTATCCAAATAGAGATTTGTGTAAGAAATAAACAAACAAACTGACAGGATCAAACCCAAAAGATCAATGTTTGATACATATAAATATAAATACATATGAAACAGTTAACGTATATAGATGGTATATCGCATCGCATCTCTTGAATCACACACTCATGCATTCTTTCCATTCTCTCATTATCTCTCTCTATTCATACTATTTCCCTGTATTCATCCTGTTTAAAAAAAATGCTCCCCCAAAATAAATAAAAAAAAAAAAGTTCCTACGCGTATGTCGTCACACCACACACGTCAAAGAATCTTTGTAATATCGAATGCAGCAAGAAAATAAGAGGACGATGAATGGACGAGTATCATCGTACAGCTTGAAATATCATCGCACAGCTTGGAATTTCTCAGGATTGTCTTGCGATCGATTGTCTCCGGATTAAATCTTAAAAAACAAACAATTTTTTGACAGCTCGCTAAATGTTATTGCTTGACATAAGCAATAGATATTTTCAGAGCCTCATCGGTTACAATCTCTCAGCCCTTCAAGGAGGTCATTTCATATATACAGTACTAATACTATATAATATACCAATTTGACTAAATGCGATATGTATCATCGACGCCTGCATGCACTTACTTGTCGTCTCTTGATTGTTGAAAGGAAAAGAAGAGAGTGTGTGAGAGTCTGCCTGTCACAGATGAGATGAGATTATTCACAAACGATAATAAATAGATATAAAAATTATATTCCCTCTTATCACACACACACATACACACACACACACACACACAAAAGTCACACACCAAACAAAAACCTACCGCTTTTCCCTCCTAGTACATTCTTATCACAATTATATTACTAGCCCGATTCTTGATTATAAGCCACATATAAACAGTCACCGCCTCAAAGTTACCTGATTTAGTACCACGCACACACAACGCCGAAAGGATACTAGTTCACAAAATACGCCCTTCATTTTTCCTGCTAGTTGGGTGAACCCTTATTGTACTACTGTGAAGCAGCAGATAATGGAATGCGATGGTAATAGCAAGGGTGAAGTTTTTTTTTTTTTTTTTTTTTTTTTTTTTTTTTTTGCTTGGCTTGGAAAGAAGAAGGGGATGGGGGATGCGGATGGGGTGGAGGATGGGTGGATGATGGGTGGATGATGGGTGGATGATGGGTGGCGGATGGGGTGAAGGATGGAGTGGGGGATGGTGGGGGATGGAGGGAAAGACATGATGCGATATGATGCTTATGATGCTTATGATGCTGATGATGCTGATGATTCCCTTGGCTGACAATAAAAAAAGTACGGCTTTGACCGCATAACCGGATTTCTTTTTTTACAATTGACGGATTCGACAAAATTATTATCCATAACAGTTGCTGTACATTGGTTAATATATCACTCAAACTGTATATCACTTTTTGCTATACATCACTTTTTCTAATCACTTTGTCCCCCCCTTATCCCAAAATTGTATCGATTCATCACTTGTACGTTTACTTGCATTCTCTCTTATTCATTCATTATCAGTTTTCCGATACATTCGGACCCCACCCCCCCTCCTCCCTCCCCATTCCTCATCTCCCCCATCAAACCTTCTCCTGTCCTAAACTCGATTATGCCAATAGTGAAACCAGATTGTTCAATAAATCAAGTAGATAAAGATGGACAATTCAATAAGTCATTGCGCATTAGATAATCACTACACATGCAACTAGATACCATACAATAAGTCTTCATTTAGTACATTGAAAGAATTGTCCGTATCGACAATGCGTTAAAAGGGATATAAATATTTATGTACTCGGGGAGTCGAAAAAAAAAAAAAGCTAGCTTATTTTGACGCTTGCTTGACTTGCAACAAATCTTCTTTTCTAACCAGATATTTCTCCATCCAATCTGCAGTAATCTCTGCTAGTTTCTCCAAGCATCCTAAACAAAACCCAAAATGAGGGGGCGAAAAAAAAAAAAAGTCTTATTAATGGACATGCTTAATCACATCAATCGAGAGAAGACGATATTTTAAATGTCAGGTAATACTACAGGATAACCTAATCCCGTATTTATCCCCACACCAAAACACAATCTGCCGCCCAATGCATGACACAACCGGTGAATGACGGTATTTGGGGGGGAAGAGGTGGGAGGGATTGTGCGAGAATAGATGGAAAACCGAGTGGCAACTGCGCAAATAATAGCTGAGCTGTACATCTGCCCCCCTTGGGCAATACTTCTTATTTAGATATTTGTTATCTCGATGCTATCTTTTTTTTTCTCTCCTGTATCTGTTACTGTCAGTGTATTACCCCACAACAGATGAATATCCTTTCCTATGAAAATGATCTGTAACCATCAGTACTACCATCGTTGCCATTATTACGACCTGCCATTGTAACCGATTGCATAATCATCGTTATTACAACTTCTACTTCTTGCAAGAGATGGGCTAAAGAAGAGAAACAAACAAACATAACACATATAAAACAAAAAAATTTCCCTCATTTTTCTCAGCACGCGTCAGTCGTTGGTTATCACCTACTTCCCTTTCATCCCCCCCGTCCTCCCCCACAAAATCGTACATATTCAGACATGAAGGGGAAAAAAAAAAAGCTAGATTTCTCTCACCATATCACAGCCACATTTATAGAACATTCATCTGCATATCCAAAAAAATAAACCCTATCAACCCAACCAAACATATACGTACTAGTACATACCCTTTTCTTCAAATAAATGTGTCGCTCCCTCAACCACTTGTAACTTTTTTTCTTTGCTTCCCAGCGCATTCAATGCCTGCTTATTCAATTCTAGCACAACTGTATCTTTGCTGCCCACGATGAAAAGGGTCGGTGTGTTAATCGACTTGAGGACTGGAACGGGAACGAGATCAGGACGGCCACCACGGGAAACGACTGTAGCTATCTGGTTTGGACAGAGAGATGCTGCCAGTAATGCAGCTATTGTCATTGGGGAGAGTGGAGAAAGAGCGCATTAGTATTAGCATTAGTAAAGATATACATTACATTGAATGCAGATAGTTTAATAATATACACTAGTTTGGTATTATATACAATGACACTGCATTGACTTTACGGTTAGGTAATAATACTTTTTACTATACCTCCGCCTCCGGTAGATGCCTACAATATAGTATAAAAAGATTCTCATTCTCATCACGGTTATACAAATAAAAGATAACAACGGTTTTAGACTATCAGATGTATAAATAACGTCATTACACATTCGAAAATGGTCTAGTGTACAGAAAATGATAGTTTTCCTACGAACAATGGCGTAAAGACATCACATACAACACAACACAACACAACAAGCACAACACAACAAGCACAACACACATAAAGCATACCCCCAGTTTAAACTAACCCCAAATAGCCCAATCGGAAGACCTTGCGTCCTCTTGTCTTGAGCAAAATAGTCGATAACAGAAGCTACTCTCTGCGACAGCATTTCTGTGGATGATAATGACTAATAAGAACTTCCGTTTCTTTATCGCAAGATGGAAATATACAATGCAATTCGTCCAATGACATCTGAACAAGTAATCGTCGGCTGCTGTCTTACGAAAGTATACATATTAATATTATCTGATACCCCAATGCTTAATTTTATCTGACGTCCTACACAAAGTTTGTTACCAGACTTTCCATAGAGTCGAAAACAATAGAATGTCAATATGCATTGTATGAAACAAGTAATAATCGTAGATCCGCCCGATCAGTATACACACACATCGACATACATACAATATAAACGGTATATCGTATTTCCCCAACCTTTCACTTTTACCTGCCCTTCTTCCTCCGCCACTCATCCTTTTATCGCATACCAATATCAAACCTGAGATGTCTGGTACGCTCGTCGATGGCCTCTTCCCGAGGCGTCAATAGATCGAGCAAAAAAGTGCCGACTCCTCGAGAACGCAGGATCTCCGCCACAAATCTAATGGGACAAGGATTGAGGCAACATTGTTAACAAGGTAAATATTGACAGCAAGAGCGGTGTAACGAAGCAACAGAATGGCGGAACATGATCGAATTGTTCTAAAACAACTTACTGGTTTCTGATTTAACCGCATAGAACGTTTAGAATATTAGAATGTATCGATTGGGGGTGGGGTTGGGGGTTGGGGACAAGAGGGGAAAGAATGCAGACAATTAGGGTCAGCCGATTATATTCAATAGTTTGACATCTGTAAAATAAAAAGGCATTGTTTGACATCTCCCCCACTTGTCAACCAAAAAGTTCTTTGTTCTCGACATGAATACAAAAAATAAACACACATTTCATTAATTAAATATACAAGCCCAATTCTATAATAGTATTAGTATTAAATGTCCTCCGCTAGTGCTCAGACCCCCCCCAATCGCTATCAGTTTGTGCGACTTGAAAATTTTTCCTCCAACATTCTTGTCGACAAACAAGTATTCTATATTGTTCGTGTACGCAAAAGAAGAAAAAAAAAAAGTAGAAAAAAACAGAATACGAATGAATCGTAACATTAAAAAATTAATATCCTAGCACAAAACTCTGCCAATCCGCAAAGAATGGGGGGTGATCGAGTAAACGGACAAATCAAACATGTTTATACTTTTACATTTTCCAAGCAAAGGTTAAATGAACATTAGCCAACCAATGAAATCAGAAATATGCAACCCCGCCTCGAAGGGAAAGAGAAAAAAAATTTTTTTTCTCACTCCAAAAAAAAAAAAAAAAAACCACTACTCCAATCCGTTATGCACGTGTTATTCTCTATTTTTACAAACCTTGGACTGAATCTCGATGATCCTGATCCGTGAACAAATATGACTATACCGGCATTTTTCCTTGTAGGCGAACAAAAGTCGCCCGGCAAGGTTTTGTCGACATGTTGGATTTCTATAGATTCAACAACCATTTTCAGAAAGAAGGGAAGAAAAACAACAGATGGGAATTTGAAAGTGTTATGGCTATTATATTGGGCACAAAATGGATTGTGCGATTTTCCCATGAAGCAAAAGTATTAACGCAAAGAAGATAAGCACAACGCATCATGATAAACATCGAGTAATTGACAGGCCGCCTTTGCCCAGACTTGGATAGTTGATTTTAAAAAAATCACAAAGCTTGTATGTTCAAGAATCTATTTGCAGTGTGTTGTTATTAACCCCCCCGATTCGAAGATTCAGTGAACAAAAGGTTTAGCTCATCATCTGGTACAAAGTTTGTTAGCCTATGCTATGGCCAAAATAAAAAGCTCCCATCAACAACGAATGATAATTGGAATTGGACAACGTTGACCTTTCTGGTTTATCGGGCGAATTTTATTCAATATGCGACGACGTTTGTTGTCTTCTCAAACCATTTAAGTCATGATGAGCAGTTCTGGACTGGGAATAGATCGATCTTTGGGATTACTACGCTACTTAACTGGTTGGTCTTGTCGATTTCATCCCCACATTGAGAGACGATATATGCTATCGGAAATACAATCATCTGTAGCCCTGTATTTACAATAACGATAATCATGAAATGCGCGGAACGAGATCGGAGCGTCTGACAATCGACGGGAACAAATGTAACATTAATGTTGTAGTTCTACATTTACTTTTGTTTTCCCTCGCATTCATCACATTTAGACTAAACCTTTCTCAACGACCAACTGAAATAAGCTAATCAAATATCGCCGCCAAGGCTCCTCACACGCATCATAGTATACGACGCAGTAGATCTAATTTTGGATTTCGCAATTCTTAATATCCGTTTCCGTAGCTGGGGGCATTATGTATTGACAAAACGAGTTACACTTTCAAAGCATTATATGCAAGCTATTGTGTTTTTTTATAACAAGGCCTAACGAAAAACAATGGTTGAGTAAAGATCATTGTATATCATTTACCGTCATGTTATTTTGTTAAATCACTTTGTTCATATGATGGCCGAATTCTTTTTGTGTGATATATAAAGCCCTGTCGTCATTATTATTATCTTTGCTCTTTGTCACCCCCCTCCCCCAAAATCGAGTAATAATTTCAAGGTTGTAGAGCAACAGCTAATCTTTCCGAGTTGTACCATAATTGGAATGTTGCCGATTTGCATTATCCTTTTGAGTATTCGTTTGTGAGGTTATGACATACACAAAAACGAGACCCGCACTAAACCATTATCATCGCTCTTAGTATGCACGAACAGCCAATTAAATTTCTTGTCCAACCCGATGTTTCTTCTTTCAGTCATAGTTCAGGAAGTTGATAATCAAAACGGGTAAATAACAAAAAAATTTTTTTTCTACAATAAACGTCACGTGAGAAACTGTGACTTTCTCTGATGGGCGTAAAAAAAAAGTGGATCAGATAATGTAAATTTCACTGATCGTGCAGATATTATTTCTATAATGATCGCATTGTATCACCATTCCGACCCTTGTGTCTTTGTTGATGAACTGCTCAGCCCATGTGAATTAAATTACCTCCACGATAGCTACGGTCATGATTTACCAACGGTTTCCGCCAGCAATGCATGCAGGTTTTGAGATAGCGTGACGAGAACATAGTAAACATGAGAGAGAATTGTTTGATAACCTTTAGGGTGAGTAACCGCATAGACAGACAGTACAACGCCCTGGTTCTTTGTTTCATTATTTCAATGCACACCACACCCAAAAGTGCAAATATGGATTGAAAAAAAAAAAGTATGTCGAATGCAATTGGGCGTGATATCATGAAATTTTTGTAGCTTAAATATAAACCCATGTTATTAAAACCATGGGGGCGCAAATTTATTGTGAAACTTAACATGTTATCAAACGAAGGGGGTAAACTCGCGAATGCCATTAGTTTGGTCAGCACGTTCATAATGACATCTCTCTTATTAATCCGTATTGTAAGCTTGCATACATCGACTTTGCATTAAAACTGTTTGGTTTAAATGATATCGATCGACGGATCCCTTACTTTCCGGGCAAATCGTGATCATCCATAATTTTGTAATTGAACGGAAGCTGCAGGTTCGACTCGGGAATGGTTGAATTCATAGTAATAGGCAATATCATTTACCTGCAGAGAGAAACGCATTGCCTATCGAGTCAAAGATTTGCATTTTGACCATCACCCAAATGGCAGAGGGATAATATTAACGTCGGATTTGGGATCTAAATTCAGTAAGGCATTATATCAGTATATTCTTGTATGAGAGCTAAAAAATGCTACATTTTCTTTCAATTATCACTCAAATGACTCGCGTCCGCAGATACTCAAGGGGCATTCTTTCTTTTACGTAATAAATTATTGTTATTGCTAGTCAAGATTAGGATTAGTATGAATTTTACATTTCATTTTGTACAAATGTTTCTCCAGACAACTGTTTGCCTTTTACAATATTAAGCATAACAAAGGTCAGCAGAAGGATGTTGGCTAACCATTCTTGTCTATACTTATCATGAGTCATCATGCTTAATATATTGTTGCTTAAATCTTATGGATGGAGTGACTTCTCACTTGATAGAGTGATTCTAGATAACACACCCAGTTTTCTATCTGGCCTTTTCATTTCTGAATCCAGATCTCTGATAATTAGTAATAATAGTACTGTCCTTAAGTTTAGCATTTCTTGTCTCAATTGCATACTTAATATTGGTCTAGTAATACTTTTTTTAATAATCAGTCTTAGATTACATGGTAGACAATAATAAAAACTTCTATTTAATAATAAAGTAATTCGCTTATTAGCTTATTATTTCTGGATGTCAAAATTGGAAGGAATATAAACATCTGCATTGACTGTCTTATTCCAAGTTCTATGGATAAATCTGACATTTATAATATTAGACAATTGTTAGCTTTTAAGATTTTCAAAATAAGAATACACTCATTCTACATTTATTCTTTCTTGAAACCCTTAACTTGACATTTATCTCATAATCTTAGCCCACAACATAATTATTATAATCAGTATATCTCTTAGAGGAATACAAATTAGCTTATAAAGTTTGTCATAAAGATAAATATTTTATATAATGTGTTGGTAATATTTACAAAGCACAAAAACTAAGACCAAAGAACATGCAAACGTTGAGGCAACTATGTCAGTATTATTGGAAACATTTAAACATTATTGTCATAAGTAAACATCAATGGTGAGTTTGCGGATATATATTAACTGGAATCTGCAACGTGACTTTTTAGTTGAATAAAGGATATCCATAAAGATTCCTATGAACTTTGTGTCGACAAAGCCTACATGACATTTTGTTGTATATTAGGTTTTGATTAGCAATTACTTGATTAACATTATACTAATCTACATTACCGCGCGATTTACACTGCTATTAAACTATGCAGGTACATGCCTGCCAATCTACGACAAATATTATAACAACACAAGTCTTTGAAACAAAAATATACAATTCATAATAAACTTGTTTCAATTAGCTTAATATTTGTTTTAAAAAATGTCTGTTAATAGTAATAGTTAAATCAACAATATGCATGAATATAATAGTTTAGAAATATACTGTAACTGTAACATGTGAAACAAATTCTGAACGACTATGAAAGATAAAGACAATGAGTTAGAGTTTTCCTTTTTAATGTTTATCAGTAAAGATCTTTGTTTTCTCTTGCCAGTTATAATATTATTGACCGACTAATCCATTCAACCGTTTACGCGTGCATATGACACAGCAGATAGTTTCACATCATACAGTATATTTAAAATTTTTTATCGATAATCAATTCCGCAAACATTAGATTCTGGTTTGAACTTAGCTATCTTTAAACTTATGCATAGTATAATGTGATTATCAGCCCAATAATATATGAAACGTGAGAACTGCTTTTTCACGAGAGAGAACGTGAATTTAAAAAATAGATTATTTAATATAAATGGCCTTATAGTAAGAACGACTATAGTAAACCCTATCGAGATGCAGTCTTTGTGTTGGCCATGTTTTCTCTCTCTAACGATTCATTGTAATAGCAAGTGTATAAATCATCAAATGTTTCACTCTTTCTAATGCAACCCCGCAAAGGCAATTCAATATGATTCAATCATATGATCATCAACTCGATAGCAAATCGGAAAAATTGAAATGTTTGAGATGAAAACAGATACTAGGAAAAAAAAAGTTTGTTGTCGGCGCCTTAACTTGGCAGCATTTTTAGTAGTCTTTTCGGTGATTCTACTGATTTCAGTTTTTGCCCAACGTAACTGCGTAAGTTTACCCTTTCACATCCTGGTTAGTAATATATCAAGTTACTAACACGGCCAAACTTTCTAATGTCGATATACCCACACTATCGATGAACAGTCAAACCATCACGTGCTTGTACATAAACAATCACAAGCAACGCGAAGATCCCCAAGAATGAATTCATGATCATGCATATATATGCGCACATAAGCACATAAGCACACAAAGACACACACAACCCGCATGTTATTCTTTCATGTTCTATTTCCATAATCTTCCATCTACCGGATTATCATGTCTACGCTCGAGAAGATAGTTTGAATGCAATGCGTGTGAAAGCAAGTAACGCATCGGGAAAAATTTTCTCTGCCGGTGCATAGGGTTTTGTGAGAAGGTTACACAAATGTAAGGTGAGAAACAAAAAAAAAGCCAGGCGGGTTCATGTGGAAGCGAATGGAAATCACGAGGAAGGCGTAAAGGTAATCTATAGGCAGAGAGAGAAAGAACCGACAAATCGGATTTTATGATAAATTAAAAAATTTGAATATCAATATTATAATAATGATTGTCAGAAAATCGGCGAATCGGCGAATTAAAGTATAACGAGAACAACAAACAATTGCGTTGCATGTAAATCAGTTGGTCTTTTCCCAAGATAATTTTAACAAGAACCAAAGTTTCTAAATTGATGCATGCTAAACAAAGTGAACATAACGCCACAGATTTCG